GCAATACCACTGTAGAGACAATTCCGAGGAGAGAGCATTTTACTTAGGACACACCTTTATGAGAGACACACCACTTTTCCATCTAAAACCTTAAGGTTATAGATGAGTGAGTTCTCTCATATATAAGTACTCAATCTTCCTTTTTATAATCAATGTGAGACTTTTTCCTCACACTTGATTCTCAACATTTTCATCAACAAAATCATGGTGGCTACAAAACCGTTGAAGAACTTTGGGATGGGGAAATTTAAGCAGTCAGCTCCATAGGATATTTGGCCAGTAAATGGAATGACAGACTGCCTTTTTTTTGTGTTATTCTCTGCAAAATAAATTTCACACTCCATCGTACTAATAAATTTGTCATCATCTATTCTTGTTGTGAGACAATAATCTTTGCTATTTATAATTAAATTTATAAAAAATTATGTTACAATTATTTTTCATGGTTCTTTCTACAATTTGATCTATTTAATGTGCTCTTATATTCTGTATTTTTCTTTTTATAATTTTGTTTCAGTTTTAAAAAAAATAGATTTTTTTTGTATTTTTAAAAATAGATTTTTCAAAACCATTTTTTAAAATATTAAAAAAAATTATATTTATTTTTTTAAATTGAAACAATAATTTTGATATCCTATAACATAAATATATATTATTAAAGACCAACACAGTTAAAATCACAATTTTTTCAAAAAATTATATTTTAAAAATAATTTTTATAAAAATTTATATGAAATAACTTTAAAATTAAGTGATTTTTTGAAATTTTAACATTTATTTTTTTTAATAAGAAGATGAAATATCTAACTAATCATTCTGAAATTTCAATTGAAACTTTTATATTCTTTATAAATTTTTACATAAAATTATATAATATTATAAAAAACATTTTTAAAAAAAACTAAAACAAACCGGTTTTCAAATTGTCTTTGTTATAATCCTAATTATGCACATATATTGAAACTGTCTTTATTATAAACCTTCTCTTTTAAAATAAAACACAGACTGGTCTGAGTTTAAATAAGTTAGACCATATATTTTTATCAGTGAGTCTCACTTATTCTTGGAGATTAAGAAAATTCCAAAATATACTAAATAGAAAGACTAGAAAAATAATTTAAAAATAGAAAATCTAATCACTTTTTTAATCAAAATAAATAATTAAAAAATATACTTAAATAAAAATATATTGTAGTTTTACTTTTAGTTTTGGAACATTCATATAATTTATATTGAAAGTCATTAATAATTTAGATGTATTGTGGAAATTTTTGGAATCGTTTTATTGAAAATAATTTATTGAAAAAGTACATTTGAAAATCTGGAAAAACAAAGTTTCGAAGAGGAAACCAATTATTCAGTTTGGGGAAATCGATTACCCTCTTTTGGAAAATCAACATTCACTCCCGTGTTTTTGTTTTTTGAACTTGTTTTTTTGGGTCTGTTTTGGTTCCAAAGTATATGTGTATCCTATAAATACTCCCTCATGTAATGTTTGTTAATTAATATCATTTTTTACTATTCTCTCTCTCTCTCTCTCTCTCTCTCTCTCTCTCTCTCTCTCTCTCTCTCTCTCTCTCTCTCTCTCTCTCTCTCTCTCTCTCTCTCTCTCTCTCTCTCTCTCTCTCTCTCTCTCAATATCTCTAAATTCACTTCATCTTCTCCAATTAACCACATTTCACTATTGATTCACCACTCAAGCTTTGTGCTTGTTTCAATATTTGACATCAAGAGCCTTGATTCTGATCTATTAATCTGCTGCAAAGATGACTATCATTTTCAATGATCGAATCCCTATCAATCTTCCAACCCTTGATTAAAAAAACTATGATAAATGGTGCAAACAAATGAAAGTTTTATTTGGGTATCAAGACGTTCTTGAAGTGGTTAACAATGGTGTTACACCACTTGGGACAGAAGCTACAGATGCTCAGAAGGTTGAATTCACAGAAGAGAAGAAAGACTACAAGACACTCTTCTTGATACATTCTTGTGTCGACAATGACAACTTCGAAAAGGTTGGCGATTGCAATTCGACGAAGCAAGCATGAGAGATCTTGAAGAAAGCTTATGAAGGGACTGATAAAGCAAATGTGGTGAGGTTACAAACTCACAATCGACAATTTGAACTAGTCTGAATGGAATATATGAGTCAATCAACGATTATGTAACACATATTACGCTTTTGGTGAATCAAATGAAATCTTGTGGTGAAACTGTTTTGAAGTAGAATGTTGTATCAAAGATCTTGCATTCTTTAACATCAAGATCCGACAACATTGTAGTTGCAATCGAAGAATCAAAAGACCTTCCAACATTGAGCAAGGAGAAGCTTGAAAGCTCGCTTGAGGCTCATAAACAAAGGATGGACGAAAGGGGAAATGACAAAGCTAAAGCGGAGATTGTGTTGTAAGCACAGTTCAATGAGAAGAGTAAAAGATCGAAAGGGAAGATAAATTTCCATAATTTTGGTGGAAAAGATCCACAAAATTTGAAGACTTCAATGGGGCAAAAAGGTAAGAGTAGCTCCAAAGGTAGTGGTCAAGGCAACTACACCAAGAAGTTTGGCAAGAGTAATGTGAAGTGTTACAATTGTCATAAACTTGATCAATTACAAAGGAATGAATGTGAAATCAAGGGAAAATAAAAGCGATGGGGCTAAGATTGCCCGACAAGAGGTGGATGATGATAACACACATCTGATCATGATCACATAGGATAATTATGGCAGGAATAAGCTGTTGGACAGCAGCTAAAAGTTGTTGGACATTGGTGGCAACAACTCGAAAAATGCTGCAGAAACACATTCTGAGCAAAACATAATGGTAACGGTTCGAGATGGAGTCCAAGGAAGTGATGAGGGGTACTTGGATTCTGGTTCTTTGACTCATATGATGGGTAGAAAGGATTGGTTTATCAAAATTAACCAAGCCACAATGAATAAGGTGAAATTTGTGGATGACACCACTTTAGCGACCGACGGAGTCAGTGATGTTTTGATCAAGAGAAAGTATGAAAGTCATTCCTTGATCAAAGATGTGTTTTACATTCCTGGAATTAAATGTAATATCTCGAGTATACTACAAGAAAATTAGTGCTTAACGACACAAAAATTGCGACAGTTATGTGATAACTGTCGTAATTGACATATAGAGACAGTGTTTACGACAGTTGACACCAACCGTCCCTAATATTTATTTTGCGACGGTATATTTAACCATCATAATATTATTATTACGACGGTAAAACAACCGTCGGCCCCCATTTAACACTTTTAACATTGATTTTTCACCAACAACTAGTCACGACGGTAAAATTAACCGTCCTAAAAGGCATATCACGACGGTAAAGCACCTGTCGCACCCTTAAACCTTTCACGACGGTAAAATTATCCGTCCTAAAATTCATTTCACGACGGTAAAACAACCGTCGCACCCAAAACCTTTAAAAATCTCTTGCTAACTTATATATTTTATCTAATTATAATTGTTATGTATATCTAAGTTCTCTCTTGTTAAGGTTAAGTTTATGCATTATTATATATTCTATGAATTTGATACGACAATGGTGTTATGTTCAATTTAATCAATCAAATAAATTTAATCTTTCATCTTTTTCTCAATGCTTGTTATATTTGTATTATGCTTGAGGAGGATCTATGAGATGTCGAGACGGTCTGATAGGACTAGACCAAGGGTAACTTATGGTTATGCCTCGAAAGACATGACTTTTATAACATGATATGTGGATTTAATTGATGTTGAAAAATGATTTTAAGTTTATACCTAAATAATCATTTATCATGAGCTAAAGTATATACATAGAGCTTGACATAATATTCACATATATAGTTGAAACACAATGTTATTGTTAAATTTATACCTAATCCTAACTAAACACAAATTGAGTTGCACATTTCCTCTGAAGTTAGAATTTTGATAAACCCATCTCGCAGCCATTACAAATCGTGTATTGAAGTGAAGAATTCTTCCTCAGCGAATGAAGAAAGCCGTTACTGATAACCCTAAAAAGCTCGCAAACTTGATCGATCTCGTTAACCTTCCTCCCACTCTCAGAGACTTCGTCGGTCAATCTCAGACTTCTCGATTAACCTGTTTCATGCGTGTTTGGTCCTACGTCAAAACCAATAATCTTCAGGTTCTGCTTTGTTTTTTCAACTCATGAAAATTGATTCACATCAAAGTAATTGTTGTTATTGTTCTGTTTTCAGGATTGGAGAATTTAAACTTTGAATCAGTGATTAGAATTGGTTGTTTCCTTGCTTGTGCAGGATCCAAATAACAAGAACATGGTAAACTGTGATGAAAAGTTAAAAGGTATTTTACTCGGGAAACCTCGGGTTGAGTTAGCAGAACTTCCAGCACTTATCAAGCTACATTTTCTGAAAGAGCCCAAGTGATGATGTGTGCGATACGAATCAAGATGCATACCCTTCCTCAAGATGAGTCTCTCAATTGTTTTTCACTTTTCTTTACCCCCATAGATTCAGCAACAACATTAGTATAGAAAGGAACCTAGCAGTTGAAACACCAAATTGGCAGTTTTCTTTGTTGTGTATGAATAATGTATTAGATTAATCTTATCACATGTGATCCAATTTAAAAATCTCCTGTTTTGCTGCATGCTTTTGCAACTATATAAGTTGTTTTAAAGAAATTTTTTTGCCGGGGTTGTGATTTGTTATGCATAAATTTGTGTATATTATTATGATTTATACCGAGTCATTTTGTTTTTTCCTTAGGATTTGGAACTTCTGTAGCGGCTGCAGAACTATTGCATCCAAAGCCTCTGCAGTCGACACAAATGAATTAGATAATCCCCATACCCTCTCACATCTCCGTATGCATACCGTTACTCTTTATCGAGAATCATCTTGAACTTGCAAGTTATGATTTCTCCCAAACTCGTTACCATAAGTAGATTGTATGCATTGCAATCGGTTTAGTTAAAATTGATTGCTTAATGTTGCTCCCAAAAACATGAAATTTCATAGTCGAAGTACCTGGCACTCTTTGTTTACTAGGAATCAAACCTTCCTCATTTGTAAGAAATCTCTTTTGAACTCTTTAAATGATGTAGTTGAAGGTACTCTTGCTAACTTTTGAGTGGAACAAAGGGATACCTATAGACTTTCCTTGCTAACTTTTGAAGATTAACTTTCTGGCCAGCTTGTTCACATCACATAAAAAGTTTTCATGTGAAGCTGCGGTTGCATGGGAAGCTGGGAAGCCACTGGTGATTGAAGAAGTAGAGGTGGCGCCACTGCAGGCCGGTGAAGTTCGTCTCAAGATACTCTTCACCTCCCTTTGTCACACTGATGTTTACTTTTGGGAAGCTAAGGTAGATTATAAAGAAAATAGTGTGTTTTGTTTCTGTATGTTGTTATGAATCGCAATAGCTTAACATGGTTTTCTCTTTTTTGCCACTGTTTCAGGGTCAGACTCCATTGTTTCCTCGTATTTTTGGTCATGAAGCTGGAGGGTATATGCTTCTCTTCTGATAAAATGTCTTGATTATTTAGTGTATCAGTAATTTAGTATGTAATGTGAATGAATGATGTTTATCAGGATCGTGGAGAGCGTAGGTGAAGGTGTGACTCATCTGAAACCAGGGGATAAAGCCCTGCCTGTATTCACAGGGGAGTGTGGTGAATGTCCACATTGTAAGTCAAAGGAGAGCAACATGTGTGATCTTCTTAGGATCAACACTGACAGAGGTGTCATGCTCAATGATAACAAGTCTAGATTCTCTATCAATGGAGAGCCCATAAACCATTTCGTGGGCACCTCTACATTGAGTGAGTACACAGTGGTTCATGCTGGATGTGTTGCAAAGATCAATCCTGAAGCACCACTTGACAAAGTTTGTATTCTCAGTTGTGGAATATGCACAGGTATATATATACAAGATCCCTAGCTTCAGATATTTATATATTACCAGGCTTGGTCTGTGATTTCCTAATTCAATTTGCATTGATGCTTATAGGTCTTGGTGCTACTGTGAATGTTGCAAAACCAAAGCCAGGTTCTTCAGTTGCTATCTTTGGGCTTGGAGCTGTTGGCCTTGCTGTATGTTATTACTCTTATATCTTTGTCTGCATGTGTGTGTTGCATTGCAGCTATGATTGGAAATGAAATGAGACAATATTAATTTTTGCTCTTCTTTTTTAACCATAATGTAGGCTGCTGAAGGTGCAAGGATCTCTGGTGCATCAAGAATCATTGGAGTTGATTTAGTTTCCAGCCGATTTGAATTAGGTACAACACTTTCTGTGTTCCATCTAATGATTTAAGATTTTGGTCAACAACATAAATTCAAGGACTAACTTTAGTAATAATCAATCTTGTTCACAGCTAAGAAGTTTGGAGTGAATGAGTTCGTGAACCCGAAAGTAGATTAACTTTTGAAGATTAATTGCATCATGTGATGGCAAGTATTTGTGGCATACGTAAATATTGGATGCTACTATCTAATCGGCACTTGGAATTTTATAAAAGTGCACTTCCTCAACCTTTGACTTCGATTCAGCGTCTTTATATTAGTCGGCTAGTTGAGAAATATGGAGCTGATTTTCAGGTTTGATCTGTTGTCATGTTAATTTCAATTGAAGATATATTAACATTGTAAAGTGAAAATGTTGCTGTTAGGAGGCTGTTTAATGTTTTGTTTTTATTATGGCAGAGAATGATGATGGATATAAAGCTAAATCCTATGCAGCATTCTGTTGCAACTTTAGAGAAATTGTGTATGAGCTATTACATTTACAAGAACAAGAATCCTCTTATTGTTGGAAGATGAAGTACTTTGCATATGAACAAGTGTAGTGCTGTCGAAGATTACAAACTTCCGGTTGTGAGTTGTGATGGTTGATCCATGAATGGGCAAAATGTTGTTACAATGAAGATTTTGGTTGTTTTGACACTTTGGATGTTGCTCGGGTAATATTGTTATAAAATTTTGTTGATGCTTTTTAATTTTGTATGGATTTTAAGGAAAGTTCGATGATGCTTTGCAGAAGTATAAGTTGGTAGGTTGACTTTTCAGATTGCTTAACTGTCTCCTCCACACCTTTCATTGTTGTTTATCTCTATTTTGAGACTATAGGAAATTATCACTATAAGTCTATATCACCTTGTTTTAATTTTTACATTTTAGGCCAAGGAAAACATCAAAGAGATTCCATCTTTTCAAAGTAGAAAACTTCTTTTGGCATGCTCACTTAACTTGATGGCCTGCTACTTGAAGACAAGGCAGTATGATGAATGCATAAAAGAAGGTTCTGAGGTATTCATAATTCATTTCATTTACCATTGCAGTGGGATGTTAAGTTGTAAATTTTAATAGTCATGTGCAACATAAATTGATGGGTAATGATTATAACTTAAGAGCTAAATGTCAAACTGTATCACTAGCCTTTTTAAAACAAATGCAACACAAAATAAAATTGTGTCATTTTAATAAAATGTAAATGGTAATAGAATTTTATATGTACTTGTGAAAGAATTTCAGCAAAAAGTAAGGGACAAACACAACATAGGACCTTTTAAATATTTTGGAGTTTGGTATACTACAAAAAGTTGGAAGCTGATTCACGTTCTCAATTTAAAGTTTATTTCTTTTCAAATTTCTTATATTAACTTGGACATACTGTAATGATACTGTTTGTCTTTTCTTTTTTAAATTAGTGTCTAGAAATTTATTTTGACAGTGGGCATGTCAATTACGAATTATATGATTTTGTTCATCTGATATTTCTACACTGATGGATGTTCTCAGTTTGTAATTTTGAAAAGTAATGCTTGTAATTTGCAGGCATATGCTGCTGCCGTACAGTGAATCAAAACTATGCAAATATTCTTTTGATGCTTTTACGTCTCCGTCAGGCTTGTGATCACCCACTTCTTGTTAAAGAATACAATTCTGATCCTGTTGGAAAAGATTCTGTTGAAATGGCAAAAAGGCTTCCAAAAGAGATGCTGATAAATCTGTTTAATAGTTTGGAAACAACTGCCGCTATATGTTTTGTCTGCAATGTAAGTTAATTCTGATTTGATAATTTCATTATTTGTTTCTTTGTTGCAATTATTCCTTCTAAGAGCGTCATCTGATATAGATCATTTTGATCGTATCTTACCAGTCTTTCTCTTCCTATGGTACATGTTTTGTTTATATGTTTAATAAATAACATTAGTAGGAACACTTCTCTATGGTTTGAAATATGATGAAGTTTGTGAATAAATAACATTAGTAGGAACAGTTAATAATTGGGAATATGGCCTCAATACAAAGAACTAGCTTTCTTGTTATTTTCTTTTCTTCTGATACATGATATAGTAGTACATGATAAGCTTGGTAGACTCTGCTGTTAGTAATTGGTTTAATCTATTTAATGACTCAGTTATTTATTTTGCCTTGCCTGTGTTAAATACTTGAGTAGAGGCCAGAGAATAAGCTTGGAGATGATGAAACGTGGGATAGGGCTGAAAGTGCTCTCAAGGAGGCTTTGGATGAGTTTGGCAAGCCATGGCAGGTATATGCTTTTCATGTTTTGAATTCAATTATATGTTTCTTGATACTATTTTTTATATTCTCATACATTCTTTTATTTTTTGTATATCTGTTTTATTATTTTCAATGTAATGCATCATTTGTTAACTTCAATTATGTGCTTATAATCCAAATAAAACTCTGCAGTTGAATGAAGGGGATGGTGCATTCTATGGACCAAAGATAGATATCAGTGTATCTGATGCATTGAGTAGGAAATTCCAGTGTGCAACTCTACAGGTTTACACTCTTTGGCTTGACTTGCATTCACATGGTTCAGTTGTTAATTATTTTTACTGATAATTGGATAAATTGGCTCCTTGCAGCTTGACTTCCAGCTTCCTGATCGTTTTAAGTTGGAATTCTCAGCTGAGGATGAAGCCAAAATTGAGAGGCCTGTTATGATACACAGAGCCATTCTAGGATCAGTTGAACGCATGTTTGCCATACTTTTAGAGCACTACAAGGGTAAATGGCCCTTCTAGCCCAGTCCTCGTCAAGCAATTTTGTGCCCTGTTTCTGAGAAATCACAAGCTTATGCTCTGAAGGTACACATCTCTGTTTCCTAACTTTAGTCTGTCTATATTTATCGAAGTCATATGATAACAGTTAGGATGGTGTGATGATGTGTACAATTGCATCAAATCCTTGAACCAATTTGTTTATTTTGAGTCGCAACAAGCCTTTTTAGATATACTTTTTATGTGGTAGCTTCTTCATGAAGTTTGAGCAATCTTCCTTGAATAGTTCTATTACCTAACTTTGTTATTGTTCTAATTCTATTTTAGGAGTATTATTTTAAAGATAATTATTTTAATACCTTTTTTTAGGGATTGGAATCACCCGCTGATGGTAGACGTTCATCTGAGTCTAGCTACCGTATTGGAGATAATGGAACTTCAGGGGGGACAAATTAGACTTTGCTATGATCGAGATAATTAGATTGTGAACTTTCTCATGTATTTTTGGCATAATGATACTTATTATTATAAAATTAGAAATTGATATATTTTGGGTTTTTTGTACTACTTGACATGATTATGGAACTCGCATTTTACATGATTATGGAACACACATTTTTTTGGATATTATAATGCTTATTTGATGTTAAATATTTTTTATTGAAATTATTTTTACTATATTACAAAGTGATAGAAAATAAAACAAAAAATAATACTATAAATAAATATATTAAAGAAGAAATAATTTAAAGAAAAAAAAAACAAAAAAAAACTATATTTAAATTTTTTTACATAGATAATAATTTAAATAAAAAATATATATAATAGAAAAATAAAAAAAAATCAAGACATAAACAAAAGTCATGGCGACAGTACCGAACCGTCGTAATCAACAATTAAAAATAATCAACAAAAGTCATGACGGTATCGAACCGTCGCCATAAACAATTTAATCAATTTCAAAAGATATTCACGACAGTATCGAACCGTCGCCATCAATAATTAAAATAAACTCAAAAGATAGTCACGACGGTATCAACCTGTCGTAAACTTGAACGACAGTTTTTGTAACCGTCGTGAAATAGGTTGGGGACACACACTTCTGCGACGGTAAAGCAACCGTCGTGGAAAGCAAATTGCGACGGTTTTAATCGTCGTAATCTACAAAAATACCTGTCGCAATCTGCCAATTTTCTTGTAGTGATTGTCCAATTACTTGAGAAGAATTACATGATTCACATGGAAAATAAGATTTTGCGCGTTTTGAACTGAAACGAGGTTTTAGTCCTTAAAGCACCCATGGCTACCAATCAGAATTTTAAGATAGAGTTGAAAGTGATGGAGCACAGGTGTCTTGCTACAGCGACAAATCGTGATGAGTGGTTGTAGCACTATTGTCTTGGACATCTAAAATTTTCGAGACCTCGACGCGTTACAAAGGAATGGTATGGTGACCGGGTTGCTGAAAATCAACGTTCCAACTGAGACACGTGAAAAGTGTGTTCAAGGAAAGCAACACAAGAGCAGTTTCAGCAAGGATGCAGGTCATAGGAACAAACATCACCTTGAGGTGGTGTACTTTGACGTGTGTGGTCCAATACAAGTCGACTCGTATGGTGACAATATCTGTTTTATCGCATTTGTCGATGACTTTAGTAGGATAATATAGACATACCTAATCAAAAGGAAGGATGAGGTATTTGATGTTTTTAAGAAGTTCAAGTCCATGGTTGAGCGGCAAAGTGATCACAAAATTAAATTTCTCAAAACGGATGGTGGAGGTGAGTTTACCTAGAATGAGTTTGGGAATTATTGTGACGAGGAAGGTATAGTGCGTGAGATTGTGCCACCCTATACGCCTCAGCAAAATGGTGTTGCCAAGAAGAAAAATTGTTCAATAATGAACATGGTTCGTAGCATGTTAAAGGGAAAAAGTTTACCGAAGGAACTATGGGAAGAAATCATTTCTACAGCTGCCTATTTCTTGAATAGGTGCCCTACAAAGAAGCTGGACAAGGTGACTCCAAAAGAGATATGGTCTGGACTTAAACCAAGTTTAAGCCATTTGAGAGTTTTCGATTCAGTAGCATTTCGACATATTTCGGGTCAGCTTCGAAAGAAGTTGGATGACAAAGGAGAGATGATGTTGCTTGTTGATTATCATCCTATCAGAGGTTACAAATTATTTGATGTAAGTAGTAAGAAGATTGCAATAAGTTGAGATGTGGTGGTGGATGAGGTAAGGCTTTTGACAGCAGGAAAATGATCACGACAGGTGTGGAAATCAATTTCCTGGATGAGGAAAATCGATTTCCGTCACGATTTTTGCATCCTCAGGCTCCTGGGACTATTTTGTCTTAAGAGGAAATCATTTCCCCACTTTCTAGAAATTGATTTCCATATGAAAATGCATAAAATCAGATTCTGCAGGTTCTGGACAGCAACCAATTTTAGCCGAAAACAGAGAAAATAATAGGCGACCAACTAAGCAGGGGGGACTGCCTTAGAGGCTCCAAGATTGCAAAGTATTCCATGATAATGAGATCAATGATGATGGTGATCTCATTCACTTTGCACTTATGACCGAACCCGAGCCTGTTAGCATAGTAGATGCATTAAGCGATTCCAAGTGGGTCTGTCGATGAAAGAGGAGCTGAAATTGATTGAGAAAAATAATAATTGGGAGTTGGTTGATCTACCAGAACGAAAGAAGTCAATATGAGTGAGATCGGTCTATAAAATGAAGGCAAATCTAAAAGGAGAAATTGTCAAGCATAAGGCTCAACTAATTGCGAAAGGATTTTTGCAAAGAAAAGTGTTATGTGACGGTAAAAAGTTGAGACTAAGTCATTAATTGACTTAACTCACAAAGTGAAAGTCACTACCGCACTTTATTGTTTCCAAAGAGAAATGGAAAAAGAGCAAATAAAATCCAAAATAAAATAAAATAGAGATCAAGGTACAAGGGTCGATTATGCAAAGGGAAGATATTAACATCTTAAACATCTACGGTACTCCGCAAGATCCACTATGTTTATTCTAATAAAAAAATGTGTTTTCTAAAGCTTAAACTTGCTAAAGGAAATGTATGAATGAATTATTAAAGAATAATTTTTTTTATTATTACGCTCGTCTCGATTTTACAACCTCGTGCCTACGTATCTCAAAAGAATCAGAGCGTCGTAGTTCTTCTCAAAAAAAAAACTTTGTGTTGGTTGATTTTAATGAAGAGACAAGTCGTTATTTTTAGGAGAGAAATCTCAACTAATCACCCACAAGGTATAAGAAAGAGGGACAATACACCAACATGAGGGAGAGTTTGGACACATCTCTAGTACTCAAGTGAAAAAGTCGACATCTTTACAATCATGGAGATAGAGAAATGACATTTCGATTATAAGCGACTCATGTCTAATCTTTGAAAAAATCTCAATGGAGAAAAGGTGCACGATGACACAAAAAGTTTTTGAATGGGTTGAAGTATTTTGTTAGCTTGAAACAAAAATTTGATGATTTGAACCACATTAAAGACTATGACATGAGAGACTTTGGATAGTCGAGTCAGACGCCCCGTATCCAATGTAACTCCACATGTACTTAAGGCTCGTGACACATGTTTTGCCTTTTTATTGTTAAGTGTTTTTGGCATTTTGATTAAGAAAAAGAAGTTTGAGAAAAAGAAGTCGCTTGACAAAGTCAAGGTTTATTATGAAAGCGGTTCGAGTTTGAAAAACAAGAAGGTTTTGAAAAATATGAGAAGGTTTTGAAAATTGAAGAATGAGAAACAAGTGAAGAGACTATCCTATGTACAAGAAAGTAAAAGATAGGTAAGGAAGGTTTGACCAAACAAGAAGCCGACACTTGACATAATAAAATCAACAGAATTCTCATCCTTTGAGTTAAAGCCACAATCAAAGAATAAGTCAATAATATACAAAGCATCAGGTGAAAATAAATCACAAACAGAAAGTGCATCAGATAAACCCAAGGTATCAGACAAAACTTAAAGCATCAAATGATCATCATAAAATCGGATAAGAATTCCTGCATTAGATAAAACTCCAAACAAACAGACAAAACCAGAATAATAGAGAAATAAATCCAAATGTCCTATGAAACAAAAACTCAAGTCAAAGTGGATTAAAACCATGTATCAGAGCTAATCATATGAAACATGAAATACGCGTTTAATTAATTAAATAAAAGTTGATTAAATTGATTAATTAAGTTAAGAAAATTTAATTAGCAAAACTAATTATTTTTTCATAACAAAATAAACTAATTAAAATTGACTTTCAATTAATTAACTAAAAGCAATAAAGTGGTGCTAAGAGGAAGTGGGCACTTGAGCCATTTTGAGATCCTTCACAAAACATGAAGATGTTAGTAACACAAGAGGGATTAAAATGAACCAAATGAAGCTTGATTTTAATTTTCATGTATAATTGAATATTTTTCACACTCAAAGAAACATGCATGCATGAATGAAGAAGTGAAGCAAGACATGAATCAAATCGGTAATTAACAATCAAGTGTGAACCAACAAAGTAAGTGGTAAGAGATGAATTGCAACCATAAATCTTATGAAAGTTTCTAAACACATTTCAATTGAGGGACAAAACTTCAACTCATGAAAGAACAAAGATCTAATCATCACAAATATCAAGTAAACAAAGATTGAGTGATTTTCAAGAAAGGAGAAAAAATTAGAATTCATGAGGCAAAACATGCTAAAATGGCTTTCCACATCTTCAAAATAGTCATTTAATTCCTCTAAACCAACAACATATGGTATGAACTCAAATTGACATTCAAAATGTATTCAAGACACGAGAAAACAAGATTGAAACAAGCTTTTATCATGCGAAACAAAACCGGACAATGACTACGCATATGAAACAAGGCTCAGAAAATTCATCTCAAACACATTTAGCACAAATGGAAACAACAAAGTAATTTCATGGTTGAATTTCTCATTCAAAATCAATACAACTAGCATCCTAATGTCATTAAAATCAAGTTAAACTAATACTAATTTAAGTTACTACTCAATTCCACTTCAAACATGAAAAGATCAAGTTCAAAACAAGTCTAAGTCATTCAGATCAACATCCGGGCAACAACAACACATATGCAATTAGGCTCACTAAATCCAATTCAAACAAGCTCAAAACACATGGAAATAGAACAAAGTCACAACCAACTTTCTTGCTTCAAAATCATGTCATCAATAATCCTTCACATAGCATGGTATCATTACCCAAACTCATAACATTATCAACTTCACAAACCATGATTCAATTTTAACACAACTAGAAAGCTATTGACATCAAAGTAATTTAGCTCATAATATCATCAACACTTCAACATTTAGCTCGACATAAACAATACCATAACAACAATCACAACTTCATCATCACTTTCACACCAACAACCATAATCATCAATTTAAAATCTCAATCAAAATCAAACAAGTAACATGGTCATCCTTAGAAACTCACAAACATGACAATTAAAATCAACAAGATGACATTTCAACATTTCCCAAACTAATCACAACCACAAACTCATCACTTAATTCAAAAATGTCATCAAAGTTTCAATCAATATCAAAGCTCTAATTTCAAACAAAAATCACCATCACTTTCAACACTAATTTCAACAACAATATCATCATTAATCAATTTCAATTTGTTATAACAAGACAATGTTATCACCAACAATTATCCATAAAAATGTCATTACCATCATCTTCAACAATTAAACTAACAATACCATTATCAATTTAACACAACAAAAATCCAGAAATTAATTAAATCAAATTAATGACATTGGAATATTACCACTCAAAAGAGAAAATGGGATGTTGTATTGTTGCTTTGACAGAGGGAGTACACTGTGTTGTGACAGCGAGGGTGTGCCGCGGTTGGAATTGAAGAAGTGTGAGGCCGGTTGCTGGCGGAAGGAGCAGGTTACGGAGACAGAGGAAGTTCTGAAATGGGAGTCTGTGACAGGAGGGAGTAGCCTTGTTCTGGCCGGAGAGGGAGTATGAGCGGAGAATCAGCTGGGCGTGTTCGGAAGGAAGAAGAACGGAAGGGTGCTGGGGAACGGTCAGAGCGGAAGGGAGTTTGCTGGAAGTTGGTGTGTGGACCGGTGTGGTTCGGAAATGGACCGCGAGCTGAGAGGTCAGAGGAACGGTTGAGGATGATGAGTTAGGGGTGGAAGTTATGGGTTGTTTCGGTGAGTTACTGTGAGTTGATTCAACGAAATGGAGAAGGAACAATTCAACTGGGCTCTGTTTGGATATCCTCTTTTTTATGCCTTATTGTCAATGTCAATTTTGATTTTTCCAAACAACTCTTATCTCTCTCCTCGTTTCTCTTTCCTTATTTACCACTTACTCCCTCAAACTCTATTATATAACAAAACTAATAAGTTTAGAAATTCTCAAAAAATATTTAAAATACCTTTTTGTACTGGACTGGGCCCACCTTGGCCTAAAGTACAAATAAAGGCCCAGATCCAAGCGGCTTTTCGGAGGGACGCCCACAATCAGTATATCACTAAAATGTGCCCGACCACAAACTATATTTGATACGTCCGCCGTCGCCCGCGACGAGCAGCCTCCCGACCAGAGGAACTCGAGCTCGAGCACTCTCCCCGTAGGGCAGATTCTGTCCACTATAACCGTTACGGAATCTTCAAAGCTCCGGAAAGACCGCGTCCTCGTCCTTCCTCATTCTTCGCAGAGCATCACCAGGAAGGGGACCACGTGCGGGTCCCCACTATGCACGTAGAACCTGGCAGTTCCTTTATTGGGTCAGTTCTGGTCAGCTCAATGAGGGGACCTTGGCCCAGCGCTTGGGGCTATAAATACCCTCTGTTCCAAGAGGGTCAGGTATTCATCTATTACACGCCTATTCACTTTTTGCCTGCCCATTCTGTCTCTCATTTTAGCATCGGAGTGTCTTGTAGATACCCCCCCCCCCCCCATCTCACTCAAATCCAGTTCGAGCCAGCTGTGACAGTCCAAGTCTGATCCGGTAAGATCAGTGACGCCGTCTGTGGGAAACTAGCTTCCCCGTCTTACAAACTCTCAAAGACCAAAACTAAAAACCATCTTCCACCGTCTTGGCTGACCAGACTCGGGAAGACCAGAACATCTGTGTCGTCGATGCCAACAACAACCTCGCGGACAAGAATGGAATTCCCGACAACACCGGCAACCCCGACCATAATACACTCCTCGGGGGCGTCATCCCCGGGCCCTCAGGCCACCGCGACGGAGCCACGGCCTCATCTTCTTCAGTCCCCCCTCCATTCGAAGAAGACAATATGGCTCCCCCAAACTATCTAGCCGCCCAATTCCAGGAGGTCCCTGTCCCCGCTGGGGCAGATGCCACGACCAGAGTACTGTTCGCAGCAATCAATCAAACCAACTACCTCATCTTTGCCCAGGGGGAAAGATTGAGGGCGCTGGAGGATGACAGAAGACCCGCGATGAGACACAAGAGGCCTCAGACCCCACCTCCTCTAAGAACAGAGGTACGTCTCCCATCTCCCCCGGGAGACAATACAGAGACACCTCCCGAAGCCCTTCACCATGACAACCGAGGAGACGACCCCCCTTGGAGAGGGAACCGATCATTGAAACCGGAGGGCGCAACCACGGCCCCTTACGGCAAGAAAGAAGACATCTTGGAGACAGGCACAGAAGGACGGACCAACGAGCGCACCGCACGAGGGACATCCAACATGATCAGGACCGTCGTGCCCGAAAATACCTCAGGTCCCCATCCCTTTCCCCGGAACAAAGTGATGAGGACGACCCCCGCGGTCCCCTATCACAAGCCATCATGGAGGCACCAATCCCCCCGGGCATGGAGAAGCCCCCTCACCTGAAGGAATACGACGGAGTCGCCGACCCGGTCGATCATATAGACGGGTTCGAAGCTATGATGCACTACCATAACGTCGGGGGACCCATTAAATGCCGGTTGTTCCCCACAACCCCTAGGAAAGCAGCAATGGATTGGTACAAGGGTCTTGCCCCGGGGTCAATCACCTCGTGGAGAAACTTAAAAAACCAATTTATAAGCTCGTTCACCGCGTCGCGGCGACATCCAAAGACCAAAGCGGCGCTCGAGGCTATCATCCAGAGGCATGATGAAACCTTGAGAGAATTCATCAACCGCTTCAATCGTGAAGCCATCCAGGTCCCCTGCGCAGACCACATGAAAAGATACTTGCTGGAGAGGGGACTCCTCCCCGGCACAGAGTTCAGGAAAGCAGTGGGCATCAAACCCCCCCGAATGTTCGATGCTCTCCTCGAGAAGGCCAGGGCCTATATGGATTACGAGGAAAGGGAAGCGACTAACAGAGCCCGTGACCCCAGAACTCGCGGGTCTAGTAGCAACCCACGCTAATAGGCCGTTCCTCCTCGACGGACCGGGGAGAAAAGAAAAGACGACAAACCCCGAGAAGTCCGAGAACAGCGAGGACCCTCAGGGCATTTCACAGAATACACTCCGCTCACGGCTTCCTGCGAGCGCATCTTGGCGGAGTGTGCCAGCACGGATTTCAAAGATGGCGGCGTCAAGCGCGCTCGACCAGCTCCTGCCAAGCCTGGGGTGGACAAGAGAAAGTACTATCAGTACCATAGAAGCCACGTTCATTTGACAGAGGATTGCGTCCACCTCAAGGACGCCATCGAGACCCTCATAAAAGGGGGGAGACTCGCCCAATATCGGCGGAACGACACACCTTGTCACGACGCCCGGGAGACAAGAGAGCCGGAGGAGGATGCCCGACCATCTGATGAGTCGGTCCCCATCCAGACCTCCTTCTCCGTCACAAGACATGAGGACTTCTACATCCCCGAGCACTTGCAAGAACCGGTGTCAACACATAGCAGGTGGGAGCATTTTCCCTCCGCCATGGTCATTAATGGTGGAGGATTCAACGACCTAACCATAAATTCGGCCAAAAGGAAGCTGGATGAACTAGTCGACTCTGCACCTCCTCAGACAGCGACTTTTGAAAGGGTGAAAGGTAGGTCGGAGCCTATCACCTTTTACCTCGAAGAGCTCCCTGGAGGAGCCCCCAACACGGTCATTCCTCTGCTAATAAGAGCAAGAATGACTAATTTTGACGTACACCGCATTCTCTTTCGACGAAGGAAGTTCCGTCGACATAATGTACAGTCAACTATTTCGGACCCTGCAGCTCGACGACTCACACCTCTCACCTTATATGGGGTCGGACCTACAGGGCTTCAACGGCTCGACCTCCAAACCTTGGGGATACGTCGAGCTCATGGTCACCTTTGGCGAGGACACGACGACGAGGCAGGTCAAGGTGAGCTTCCTCGTCATCAACTGCCCATTCCTCTACAACTGCATTCTGGGAAGACCAACACTGGCGAAACTGACCACGCTACCCTCTACCGTCCACTTGAAGATGAAGTTTTACACCAAGAGGGCACGGGTCGCCACCATCCAAGGGGACCTGGCCGCTGCCCAAAGGTGTTTCAACGCGACATCCAAGGGATGCGACACGGTCGACACTGGAACAAAGCCCGCCAAGAGACCAGCGACGACACGACCAGAGCCCGAGAAGACAGAGCCCGTCAAGGAAGAAGAGCAGAGAACTCCCCCAAAGGTCGACTCCATAGCCCTGGACACCCGCTTCGACCAGGATGAGCCTCCCAGCGGCGATCAAGCCCCCCTCCGACCAATTCCAGACGGGGACTTCGAGCTCGTCCCCCTCGGTGAGGACGTGAGCAAAGGAGTGAAGATCGGTATCGACCTCCCCGACCTGGCAAGGAAGCAGATCAAAGCTTGCCTGCACGAGAATGCTGACTTGTTCGCGTGGAGCACTGTAGAGATGCCCGGACTCGACCCCGAGGTCGCCTGTCACCGGCTCGCCATAGATCCAGTCGTTAGGGAAGTAGTACAACATAGATGTAGGCAGTCTCCAGAGAAAACAAAGCCTGCTGAAAAAGCTGTAAAAGACCTCTTAGAGGCAAATTTTATTTCTGAAGCCCTGTATTCAACCTGGCTGTCAAATGTTGTATTAGTAAAAAAGAATAATGGAAAATGGCGAATGTGTGTTGATTATACCGACCTCAATCGGGCATGCCCGAAAGATGCTTTTCCTTTACCAAACATAGACATGTTGGTCGACAACTCGGCCGGTTACAAAATACTGTCGTTCATGGATGCATATTCAGGCTATAACCAAATCCCAATGGCCATGAGCGACAAGCATTGCACTGCTTTCATGACCAGCTCGGGAAACTATTACTATAACGTAATGCCCTTTGGTCTGAAGAACGCAGGGGCGACATACCAACGTATGATGAACAAAGTGTTCCACAACCAAATCGGGGATATGCTCTAAGTTTACATGGACGACATGATCGTCAAAACCCGAGTAGACACCGATCATGCAGCCTACCTCAAAGCAATCTTTGCCCAAGTAAGACAATGTAAGAGGAGGTTCAACCCCGAGAAGTGCACGTTCAGGGTCAAGGCAGGGAAATTCCTTGGTTTTTATCTGACAAAATGAGGAATTGAAGCCAATCCCGATAAGTGTCGAGCCTTCTCCGACCTCCCGACACCCACGTTGAAAAAATCAATACAAGTCATGAACGACATGCTCACATCACTGTCCCGCTCGTCGCGAGATCCGCTCAGCACGCCCTCCCCTTCTTCAAACTCCTTCGTAAAGAGGCATCCTTCGAATGGACCGAGGAATGTGAACAAGCGTTGCGCCACCTAAAACAAAGCCTATCCCAACCACCCATACTGTCTCGACCAGTCGACGGGGAACCTTTGTTTTTATACTTGGCCGTCTCAAACGAAGCCATCAGTGCAACTCTCATCCGCGAGACCACCGACGGGAAGAAACCCGTTTATTTCACGAGCAAAGCACTACAAGGGACCGAGAGCAGATACCAACAGATAGAAAAGGTAGCTCTAGCCCTCGTCAACGCGGCGAGGAGAATCAGACACTATTTCCTAGCTCACACGATCATAGTGCGAACCGACCAACCAGTAAAACAACTCTTAGGTCGACCTGACATGGCGGGTCGAATGTTGAAGTGGTCCTTGGAGCTCTCTGAGTTCGACATTCAATACGAGAGCAGGAAAGCCCTGAAGGCACAAGCCCTGGCTGACTTTGTCGTAGAAATGACCGCTCACAACCCGCCCGCAGGGAAAGAGCACAAGTGGACCATCTTCATCGTGGAGCTTCCAGCTCATCCGGAAGCGGCGCGGGGATCCTCCT